TTTTTGTGTGGGTCTTTGAAATGGCTGTATTTGATGACTTTTGGGGCTATATATCACATTTTGAACTTTGTACAGCTCTGAAATAATCTAATTGAAATTTCACTCTTAAAACTTTTCTGTTGCTATAAAGCATATTTAGGGAACAGATATCTTTTCTTGTATGAGGTAACAATAACTTTTTTACCTATACTACAAATGTAACTGCTCAAAGATGCAATAGATTATGAAGGTTCATAGACTAAAGAAATTTTGGTTGAAGTAGGTTAAAAACAATGGGTCTCTCAAAGAGGTTAGGTTTTCATTTACATTACAATTTTCCATGAAAAAGAGTAAGAAAAAGAAAATGACTTGTGAACTGTCAAATTTTAAGAGTGAAGTTTCATTACCACTAAATAATTGGAGCAGTGATGATGTGCCACTTACCACAAATAAAATTTCATGAAATTAATATCAACTGATACAGGTCTGCTTAAGGGAACACAGTTTGGGATGAAGATATTAAAAAATGATTCCACAAGCAAGCATTTGAAATGAGATGAGGCCCATAAAGCTGAGTTGGCTATAATCATCTTAAATCCAACAAGCTTGAGTAGAATAATTATTTAATTAAAAATGCCCCAAAATATAGATAAATCTTACTAAATTTATTTATTTAATTTTATTTATGTGTGCCCTAACTACATGTATATATGTTAAGCATGGTATATTAATGGCTCATAACCCATGATGGCTAAGCCAATGAAAATTCTTGAATTGCATTATCTAATGATCCAGTTTTTAATAACAATACTTATACCTTAACTTTTTTAAAGTATTACTTGGAAAGATCATACCTTAATTATCTCTGTAATATTTTTAGACATATTGATGTTGTTTCTTTGTGCATGTGAAGAAATAACTGTTGCCATCATATCTTTTTCAGATAAATAGATTGTTGGAAATTCTGTTAGATAGTGAACTTAACTCAAACAAGAGATATGAAATGTTTAGAGATGAGGATGATAATGCAGGGAAGACATTGCTTCACTATGCTGCAGAACTTGGATTTTTGCATGTCTCTAAAACACTTGTGAAGAAATGTGCTGGACTGCTTACTGTGAAGACAATAGCACCCCCCAAAAAACGGGAGCTATTACCAGTGGAGGTGGCATTAGCAGCAGAGAATGATGAGGTGGCAGCATATTTAATTAGAGTGATGCAGCATGACAGGTACAGTGAGCAATTATTTTGAAAAGTAAAGAGGATATGGCTCCTTAATTCTGAAAAAAAAATTGTTTTGAAGCCTAATTGTTTAAGCAAAAGTGAAAACTACTTATGGGAAATCCTTTAATTTGAAATGTTAGAAAGTACTATTTTAAAGGATAATGGTTTCAACATAAGATTATTAAAAGTAACTAGAACTAAGTTAATTTGATTCTTGTGGAATTCCTTTGTTCTTTTTCTGATTTCTTTGATTTGACAATGTTTGGTGGTGGCTGCATGTATGTGGTGCTCTCAGGCACCACACTCACATGAATCACCTATTGTTGATAAGTGCGTGCAACCAAGCCTAGTTAATGAAACCTACTGGATCTTAAGGACACCATTATAAGATTCAAAACCAAATAGGGAAAATACAACTATATACATGTATCTTTTGGGTGGAATATATATGCATCCCTTAAGAGTTGACTCAGAACACTCTGCAACTACACATCACTTAAAGCTTATTTTAAGATTTACTTCCTGTTAATTAGAGCCCAGAATTTCTTCTTATGGAACCCAGGAAATTTGACAAATCCTCAGCCATCATACTTCAATTTCAAATCCATCATTGAAAATCTTGGGATGAAGGTGGGTATTTTGTATTTACTAAATGATTTCAAGGATGTTTTTCAATTGTCTTTAAGAAATTGCCTAACATTAATTAAATTTAAAAAATTGGAAAAAAATTATATTTAAGTTGACAGGCAGAATACAAAGGGCATGTAACAGTTACTCTGGATGAGATTCAAAACAAAAAACATGTAACATTTGAAGGGCAAAAGAGTCCTCTGTAAATATTGTAAAAGTTGGTGTGCTTGAGGCTTGTAACCTAAAACACTCAGAGGGAATATAAAAGCGAAGCACATAAGGAGACTATTATGCAAAAGCTGTAAAAGATCAAGACAGGGTCCAAGAGACAAAGCCAGCCTAAAATGAAACTAGTATTTATGAGAATTTTCTTCGTATCTCACCCACTATGGTTAGAAAACGTCCGGACCCTGGGAGATCCTGCTCATTAAAAAACTGACTATGCATTTATGTAACTATGTACTGTGTATTTATGTTCACTTTATGACATGCTTGTACTGCATTTATCAAAGAAATTTGCTTAGTAATTCTTGCCAAAAATAAATGTTTTTCTGTCCTGTCAGAGGAGTAGAACAATGAGAGCCTTATGTGAGTTATTAGAGCAGGGTGGTAAAATTTAAGCTTGGCAACAAAGAAATTGAGGATTTTTTTTCAAAATTGTATTTGAACATGGGACAGAGTAAGCCAGCTTGCTCACTGAATAAGGGCCTCTATGGCATAGTGATGCTGTTAACAAAGTGAAGAAAAACATCTCTTTTAATTCCATTGGATTATGTGGTAAATTTCCTTGTCACACAAGAAAACTTAAATATCCTGAGGAAGTTGAATAAGACAGCCAAAGATGCAAATATCCACTGTGCTTTACTGCCAATGTATCGGAAAGGTATTATACACAGGATCAAAAGCAGGGCTAAGCAGTCAAACAGGGTCATCCACTCAGTGAAATATGATTGTCTCTCACTGCAAGAACAGAAGTCTTTAACGACTTGGCTCATTTAATTACCTTCTTTCTTATTCTTCTTATACAATTTTTGCTGTGTTTTCAGAAAACAGTCGTGGCTGTTCTAGACCAGATGGTGAATCCACACTGGCCTTACCTTCCAAAGCGCAAGGAAAAGTATAAGAGTGAAGAAGAGAAAGAGGCAATTGAAGGGGCCTGGAGTACAATGACTGAAAATCCTTTGAATTATCACTTCTATTATCACATTTTGGATGCTGATGAGGGAGGACGACCTCCAAAACTTTGCTTGTCAACAGGAGGAAAACAGACAAATAATGACTATTTTAACTGGAGTGACAAGTCTTGTTTACAAGTGATTGCAAAGAGCTATAACAAGGTAATATTTAACTTCTGACTCTTCTACAGTACTTTTTCATCTGCCTGAACAGCACCCAGCCATCATGAAGAGTAGCAACTCATAATTCCTTCCCCAGTCTGGCATAGTGGATGTCATGGTTGGCTACTGTTTTATAAGTTCAGTTCAATAATAAACTCTTCAAACTTCCAAGCCCTTAAGACGTACACCCAACATACATTTGATACTATCGTTATTCTGACCAAGTAGTACCTCCCTCAGATCTCCAGCCTCCATATATGGTAAACCTGTAAACCTTTTCCAACCTTTAAAATTATTTACTAATTTGTAATCCAATCCAGCAATCAGGATTACCATGTGACATAATAGAATAGAGTAAAATCGCCCGAACTGACGTAGGTGAAGTCCTGAATTCTAATGTCAATGATGGGTACTTGTTTAAAAACTTCCCCTCCCCCAACTCCCCAAAAATAGCCCTACCTACTGCAGTTTTTTACACCTATCATACAGATTTCTGGTTTATTTTATTTTTTAGGAGGCTTTGCAGCATCCTGTGGTCAGGATGTTAATTAAAACAAAATGGAAAAGTTATGGACAATGGTTTCTTAGGTAAGCTATTTATCTTGTTTTGTAAGTTAACGTTTTAATAAATCAAAGGTAGTCAGCACCGTCACATCTGATTCTATTGTAATGCCACACGTTAACGTTTAGCCCTGAAGAGGAAATATGGTAATTTAGAAGAGCATCTAACTATAGAAAACCCATCAGCCAACTGTTAGCTGACAGTTGCTTTCCTGTCCGCCAATGGTTTTTAAAGCACATCTGTTGGGTGAGAAGTGGTAACCAGTCAACATTATCGTATTACCTTATTTATCGTAAAGACTTGAGCGGACATAATCACTTCATTGGATGGCAAGATATATTCTCTGAAGTTTATGCCAACTTCAGCGCCAGTAGTGTAGAGAGTTGCCGAAATACTGCTATCGCAATCTGTCTGCCACGTTGGAAAGGTTATCTCGCCCCCAGTGCCTCCCTTTTCTACCAAATTTTCCAAAAAATTAAGTTAGAATTTTTAAAAATGCACAAGATATACAAGTAATAAGGACGAACAATTTCAAGACATGCAACCTGCAAAGCAATTAAAGACCAGACTCGGGGTAAACAATATGTATATATACATGACATACCAAAAAGAGGTCTGCAAAGCATTATGGGGTGATTCAAAACACTTCGTTCTTCGAGAGATCTCTGCGGAAATGTTGTCGTTAAATCGTGGTAGAAATCGATTTAAAAGCATTTCAAAGTATGCAGAGTAAGTGGAAGCATATATGAAGCATATATGAAATAAAGTCAAAGTTAATGGCATTGGAGCTTGGTACAGGATAATGAAGCTTAACTTTTTTGCCAAGCGTATCAGAACCCTAAATTACCAAGTTTGCATATTAGTTACGACTCAATAAAGTCACTTCCTGCAGAAAAGTGAGGTGCACGAAGTATGCACGTTTAATTAGCAAAATTAGTCCTTGAGCCAGTAATACTTCGCTCTTATTTTTCAACAAAATTTTACCTTTTGATGTCAAGTTTCATTTGGTGAAAGAAGAAAGGAAAAAACCTCACGATTTAGTTTTTTTGAATTTCTAAGAAATTTGAGTCAAACATAAATTTATTTAATGCATATAGTCATGCGTTTAAATGTGATTTTTTTTCTACAGCCTTCAAGCTGCATTCTATGTTTTCTTCTTGCTATTATTGTCGTACTCCCTACTGTATGGTTCTACCAAACTGGACCCCACCCAGTACAGGGGTGCAGCAGATTTATTACGTGGATTTTGTGAGGTTGTCACCCTCCTTATGGTTGTGTTTTATATCTGTGAAGAAATAAATCAGATGAGAATGTGAGTAGAGGGGCTTCTAATGCTATAACCCTTGTAAATAGTTTCGGTGTCCCATCGCCCGACCATCTAATCTCTCTTTGGAAAAAACAAACCAAAAAATCCTAGATGTATCGTCTGATCAACAAAGCTGCAAGAGTATGACGGTGTATCAAACTGTTTAGCTAAAAAAGATTGTCAAGATACGAGTAAACTCGTCCAAGCTAACAAAGTTTGACAGCTGTACATGTACACAGCTGTTTCGAGAAAGCTTGACGGAAAAAAGGACTCACTCGACAATCTTGAAAGGTAATCTGGGTATCTGGTGATCAGTGAGTTTTAAGAAATGAAATAAATAAATAAACTCGTCAAGCCTATAATACTTCGTCCTTAAAGTGACGTTTTCTCAACTCTCACTGAAATCTTGAAGTCAAAGAACCGTGATCTGAAAACTTCCCACAATACCTTTTGGGGTTGTCGCGTGCACTTTTATGCATTTTTCCGACATCCTTTATGGAAACAGCTGCAGCGTACTTATTTCACCTAATATAGATTCACTATATAGACTGTGGCGTACTAGTTTTTTTTTTTGGTATTATTATGGTTTTTTTCCTAAACATCAAATTTTTAATTTATATGTTTTGAGACATTTTAAATATGTTACTCACTTACTTATATGCGACATGATAAGAATATTTTCATGGACACATTATTCTACGCTTTTTACAGTCCGGGCCATAGACAGATTTCTCAGTACTATGGCCTCATCAAACATGCTGTAACGGTCCAAGTTTTAAAAACTTAGGCTAACCCCATGTTTTAGCCCCGCATTTTTGTCTTTGATATTTATGTTCCTTTGTCCCTTTGTCCCTTAGGGCCCAGTTCATTTGAGAGAGCAACAAAAGAATTTCTCGTCAACGTGTGCTACTCTTCTAAAGGAAGAGATGTTAATTACACCCCTACCTCCATACAACTACTGCTTTCCGCTATTTGACTGTCTTTGTCCTTATTGAGTACACATACTTATTATTTCAATATCTTTATTGAGAAGTGTGAAACACAACGAGCCATTGGGCGATTAAGCAAAGTCGTTAAAGATCTTTGTTCTTGCAGTGAGAGACAATCATATTTCACCGAGTGGATGACCCTGTTTGACTGGTTAGGCCTGCTTTTGATCCTGTGTATAATACCTTTCCGATACATTGGTAGTAAAGCACAGTGGATATTTGCATCTTTGGCTGTCTTGTTCAACTTCCTCAGGATATTTAAGTTTTCTTGCGTGACAAGGTAATTTACCGCATAATCCAAGCTCAAGATCTGAACTTTATGGGACATTTTTAGTTTCGCTTTTTTTTGTCCTTTTCTAGTGCAGTGTGGAAGGAAAACTAGTAATGAAAAAATTCCCGTATAACCCTGTGCTACTCTGAATCAAAACCTTAGTTCTAAATCTATTGTCTTCGCCAAGCTTCTTTTATCCAATAACTGTATACTTCATTAGGTATGGGGTTATAAGGAAATCATGCCCTTGTTATTTCTAATTCACTTAACTTTGGCTTGCAGAACTCGAATGAATCTACCTAAACAAGTTATTTTATTAATCTGTGTTCATGATTTTGGAGGTTCTTTGTATAGATCGGATTCATCTTTTCCAGGACTACAGGATTGTACACAAAAGCCCTGGCTAAGATCATCCAGGAGGACTTGACGCGGTTCATTGCAGTTTTTATTGTGATCTTTCTTCCTTTTTGTTGTGCCCTGTTTTTATCATTACGCCAAGGTTCCAATCAATACCATCAATTTAGGTACGTCTGCATATTTCAGATCGTTGTGCACCTCCTTCCCACAGATTAGAATTATTATGTAGCTAATTGGTGTTTATGGGGGCTCAAGACGGTTACCTTATTTTTCTTGATCTAGTTAAAAAATAATGAAGTGATTACATGTACAACTTGTTCTGCGGTGGTAGAGTTTATGGTTGGTACGAGTTACTTACATGCTTATGCTTATGGTGATTTTTACCGACGATGCAAATTTCTAAGTAGTTACTTTTGCATCTTTTCACATTTAGTGGCTTAGGAGATGTTTTGCTGAGCGGATTTCGGGCGGTGTTCGAACATAGACCAATTGCAGAAGATTATTCAAGCTTCAAGTAAGGTTATGATTGGTACCTCTCTACAGAAACTGTGACAAAACTAAATTCTGTGCTCAGCGAAATAGTTGAGCATGTATTTACGTCATGTCGCGTTGCTGTTGCGCCGCGCAGTGGTAAATGTTTGGATTTGAATGCAATGAACTTCTCCAAGTTTTTCTTATTTGTATTTTGTTGCAGCTGGCTCTCAATATTGTTAATGCTCGCGTACATGTGGACCGTGATTGTGATTCTCCTCAACATGCTCATAGCACAGATGAGCACGACCTATATTCAGGCCAAAAAAGTCGCTCGTGTGGAGTATGATGTGGATCGTATTTTACAGCTCACTCGCATGGAAAGATTTCCTTTTCTGGTATGTTTCTGTAAAGTTTAAAGACTAAACGTGGAATAAATTATAAATAAGTGGGCGTTATTAAGGGTTTGAGGTCATGTCAGCACGGTTTGCACGAACTTATGATATGTGTGATTTAGGTGGGAAGAATGTGTAGGGAAAGCACTTTAAGAGGATTAATGAAAAGATGCCTTACTTTTGAGAGTGACATTGTGTACAACTAGCATTGCCAATATAATTTGAATGAAATCTTACCCGATAAGTGCCTCACATTTTACTTCTGGCTTCGAAAAGTCATGGCATCTCAGTATAGTGGTAGGTCGTGGCTAGGTTCTTAATGTGTTTACTTCTATAGAGACTTGTAGCACAATCATCATGCCCAAATGTGTAACATAGGGTATTTTCATGAAAATGTAAAAAGTATGCCAAAAATACTTTTATTTGCTAGATATACTTGCTAATTTACGTTCTAAAAAGAATTAGTGAAGATTTCAATGTTTGTTCGGTTTTTAAAGCTTAATTACTGATTACCCACAATCCTTTGCAGGCATGGCATTTGACTGTATCACTAGATTTCACTGGCCATAATGGCTGAGTTACAAAAAAAATTAATTATAATAATATATAATTATAATATTAATTATATTTCAACTATCTCTAGATTTAAAAAGAAGCAATTATTTCTTCATTGACATCTACAGGGACTTTGTAAATGTTATTCCTCTTTCTCTTTAGTTCTCCACACACATCCCAGAATTATTCATAAGAACTCCCCACATACATAGAGGAGAGGTTACATAGGAGACCTTCGATGTTTGTTGCTTGATTTCAACGAGAAAATCAGGCGAAGTTTAGCGTTTTCGAGCGCTATTTGTGCGGATTTCAATGTAGAGCGGGCTTGAAATTTGATCGTTACACATTGATAAACACAAAGCGAGAGTGAATTTAGGTTTCCGATTTAGTTTGCTTTGAATATCTTCGTTTGTATTGTATGTATGGCTGTAAAACTTTGGGGATTTGTAGTCGAACACATGAACTTTGCTTGGGAGTTGTCTCAGCAACCGAGGTGAAGTAAAAGCTGAAATACAGGCCTTTTTGCAGGTAAGTGGTGTTTGATTTTCCGTGTTTAAAAATAAACAATAACATCGTTTCCGAAACCAAAAATCACTTATTTCTTCTTTGCAGTTAGCTCTTTTTAAAAGTTAGTTTAGATGAGGGTAAGTAAGTGTTTGAACCTTACTCAGACGAATCAACTTTCTTTGTAGGCGTATATTCAAGATGCTAGACCCGCACATGTACCATGCAAAGCTCTGTTGGATCTGCTGCGTTACACAAGCAAACAACAGCGACTGTCTTCAAGTTTTTTATTCCTGTTCTTTTAAAAACAAACATTTAACGCTGTCTCTTGGCATAAGGTGTATTTAAGCCCTACTCAATAAATGAGCATAATGGAAGTTTCTAATTGATGTTGTTTTGAGTACGAAATTTACCTTTATTTTCGGGTTTATGCAAATGAGATGTTACGCGTTACATTTATAATTTGGGTATATTTTCCAGTATCTTTAATATTTTTCAATTCTTACATTATTCCAAAAGGCAACAAAGTTATTTTTTATTAAACTGCAATCATCAGAGAAGCAAAATGACAAGTTTGAAAACAATCTGTCCATTGCTGATCAAGATATTTTCAAATATTTCTGAACAACCCTGAATGGGCGTGATGATCATGCTACAAGTCAGAGGTAAATTGTTTAATGACTTCAGTCGTGAATTTGATTGCATTTTATAGAATTTGCGCGTAAAGTACTACAAGGAAGGAGAATGGATCAGTGAAAAGAAACTTGCGGAAGGTTTGTTGTTAATCAAGATAGTCCAAAGTCTTTTTGTTTTGATATTGCCAGTGATTGACCCGGAGCCCTGAAAAATGGAAAAAATTGGCAGAGGGAAGGTGAAGGAGAGGTTGGTCTTTTCCACTCAACTGTTTCCAAATAACATTCAATGATAAAAGAAAAAAGTTTTTAAATGGTTTCATCTTACAGTGGTCCGATGGATGCAATCTAAATGCTTTACTTTTTACTAGAGCTTCTAGAATTTAGTGAAGATCGGAAGCCTTGGGAATCAGTGGAAGAAAAACTTAATGCCATAAGGTGAGAATCATTCGTTCATCACGTTTCACTCAGCCGCCCTCCGAGTATCTGTGCAGCCAATCGACCCCCATTTTGCAGCCCATAACGTTCTGTTAAATATATGAATCAATTTATTTCCGTAGAGATATGATGCGAACGATGGTGAAACAGATGAGGCCTGGAAGAAAATGAACAGCTACTTGTTACAGTGGTAACAGTGAGACTCTGTCTGTTTTATTTCAACCTGTTTTTCCTTTGAACTTGCAAAAATCTCGAGCATTTTCTTCCCAATGGCTTGGATATGAGATTAAATGGTGCGTTAACAAGAGCAATCACAACAGCAGTAACGAAAATAACAGAGGAAACACCAAACAAACAGTGAGCAGTGGAGTGACGCAAACTAGAACTAATCGGAATTACTCCACAATCAAGTACAGAGCCTTTCTTTAGACACTGAACCAGTTCATCAACATTTGCTTATAAACTCATTTCTTTTCTCATTGATCTATTCTGTACTCAGTGTTTACAAAGTTGTAAAGAGAAATATTAAGTATAGCTCGATACATAAACAGACACGTCAGCTTTTCAAATTCATTTATTGGCCTGAGTTATGTGGCTGCTCCAGCCAACGTAAAAAACGGGAAACACATTAGTTGTAGAAATATGTTTGTGTGTATTGCACCTCCTATTAAATGTTATATCGCGATTATTCTGCCTGTAATAAGCCCCGTTTTCATTCTTCTGCGGGTTTTCCGTGTTTGAATTGAGAAATAATTTGTCTCAACAACACCTGCCTAGTAAAGATTAGTTAAAACTTTCTTAATCAAAATTGTTAGAATGAAGTTGACATTTTCAATAGCGCTTAATCTTTTGTGCGTGAATGTACTATCAGTTGAGTTAAAAAAGGTGTCAATGTTTCGCTTTTGTATACCTGAATTGAAATTTTCATCACTTAGGCCGTAAAAGGAAAACTTCTTCAACAGAAAGCAATTTGAACGATATTTATTGTGACCCAATATGCTAAAAGGTGTCAAGTATTTCTAAAGCTCTGAAACGCCATTAGTCAGAACGGGAGCATTTTAGAATCAAGGTTATTGTATATATGGTCAGAAAACCCACGCGAATTGTAATCCTTTTAAGGTGCTTCATAACCGTAGAGTGTAATGTAGTAAAGGCATTTTCTTCGGCGGCCAACTTAATACTTGGCACTGACTGGTGTGGACAACAACCAGCAGTTTACCTTTGTGTAAAGCAATAATCCGCGCAGGTGATGTGTATTTATTTCATTATGAGTTTATTTTTACTTTGTAGAAATTAATTTAAGTGCGAATTGGTTAAAGTAGAAAACATAAGACATCGATGATTTCTCAAATTTTGAGCGCATTATAGGGAAAACTCCAATTGTTACAACGATCCCAATGATAAGGGTCTATCTATCGGGTTTTCATCACTTGTGAGGAGATCAGTAATGTTGTCTTCACTCACCATACAGTGATAGCCAGTGCAAAAGCGTTTTAAGTCTTTATTGTCCTTGATATACTGGTTCACTCTCTACTAACAGTAATTTCAGTTCCTAGCTTCATATGGATCAAGTCTAACCGGAACAGTCTCATTGTCTGCTTTACTGCTTGTCTTACTTCGCTTATCTTCCAGCAGTAAAGGAACGGGTTCAAAGTTGAGTTAAAGGAGACTAAAATCAGCGTTAGTGTCCCACTGACGGCTAAATGTGTTTGAGATATTTTACTGAAAGCGGTAAAAGTTACCACAATGCAATATGGTAGATAACAGACAAATAAAGCTAACTGCATCCACAGCGCACTGCCTTTCTGTATCGTGCGATGTTCAGTGCATTTGGTTGGCTCGGATGTTGTTGAGCATGATCTTGTATTTGAGTTTGATGACGACTAAGAGCTCTAAAAATCTTTGTGCAAGATGCGGATGATATCATCAAGCAAAACGCTGTAACTACAAAGCCGTACCAACATGTAATGTGGTAAATTAAGCTTTGGCATAAAGCAAAGACGCCGGATGCAATCAAAAAGAAAACTGAAATGACATGGATGCGCTTTACAGTTACAATTTGTCTATATCTCAACCCCAACAACAGGGCGAGAAGTCTGTCCGCGCTTATGGCCGTCATCGTCAACAAAGATACTTTATGCAGATACTCAGAGAGACGCTCTATTCAAAGCACGAATTAGTCAAATTGTGTACCTTAGTTAAGATCCAATATTTCGAGAGCCATACCCTGGTTGGCGGAACTTATATGTTGAGGTTACCTGAGAGTGTGCCTTTGTACCCCCTCTCGCCCCTCCCTCCCGTCCACACGAGGAAACTTCGAAACTCAGGATGGTCAAAACAAAATGCGGGAACTTTTAACTCAGAAGCACGTTTCCACCCTCAGGCTTTTCGTTCCAGCATTCATGAACCAAACAATATTCTGAAAGCCGCATTTTGAATTTTCAGAACCTAGATATGATTGCCTGTCGTAAAAGACTCAAATTTATAACTAGATATAAAATCTTTAAGAGGTCTCAGCTGCTTGGAAAGCATTGATGAGAATAGTGCGGCTGTCGTATTAAACTTTGAGGGTACGCTTCGTTACGCAATTTGCAAACTTTGTTTAATAAATAAAAATGTTTAATTTATTAATATATGAATTTCATATATCTAAAATCATTATTCATCACTTGGATGGTTTATTTGGACCTAACATTCTCTCAGCTCCCAGTTGGCTTGTTAGCTCAGTTGGTAAAACACTGCACCGGTATAGCAGAGGTCATGGGTTCAAATCACTGTACGCGGGCCTGAATTTTTTTTTCAGGTCCCATTTTCAAGTACTAGTTCAGTCGTGTTCTTAGCTGCAAGGATCTCTTAAACTCGTTTCTTCACTGCAGTGCAAATATATGAATTTCACTTATCTAAAATCATTAAAAATCCAAATGTAATTTAAGTAACATGAATGCATGGGACCTCACTATTTATACTGTTTATTACGTAACATTGTTTCTTATCCAACAAAGCCTTTCATGTTTTCCAGGACTACAGGATTATACATAAAAACCTTGGCTAAGGAGTAATTGACTCAGTTCATCGCAGTTTTACTGAGATCTTTCTTCCTTCTTTTTGTGCCTTGTTTTTATCATTGCGTCAAGGTTCTAATCAATGCCATGAATTTAGGTACGTTTGAATTTCTCAGATCGTTGCACACCTTCCCACTGATTCTCTTAAGAATTATTATGTAACTAACAGATGCTTAGGGGGCTCAAAACAAGTACCTTATTTCTCATTATCATTCGTATGACCGACAGATTCAACCCAGTATTATTAAAAATATCATAATAAAATGATTACATGTACAACTTGCTTAGCGATGATTTGGTTTGGATTTTTCCACCAACTGAGCTGAGTAGGATTCGTGGTCAGCGCGGGTTAATCAGGTGCTTATACGTTTATAGTGATTTTTACCGATTTATTTTTACAAAATTTTTACCTATATTAAATTGCTAAGAGCAGCTACTTTTGCTTCCTTTTACATCTAGTGGCGTAGGAGATGTTTTGTTGAGCGGATTTCGAGCGTTGTACGAACAAATACCAATTGCAGAAGACTACTCAAGCCTCAATTAAGGTTATGATGAGTACTTCTCTACAGAAGCTATAACAGAATTAAATTCTGCGAAATAGTCGAGCGCCTATTTACGTCATGTTGTGTTGCTGTACATTGCGCTGCGCAGTGGTTAATGTTTGGCTTTGAATGCAAGGAACTTTTCCAAGTTTCGTTTATTTGTATTTTGCTGAAACTGGCTCTCAATACTGTTAATGCTGGTGTACATGGGGACCGTGATTGTGATTCTCCTCAACATACTCAAAGCACGACCTACATTCAGGCAAATAAAGTTGCCCGTGTGGAGTATGATGTGGATGGTATTTCACAGCTCACTCGACATTGCTAATGATTGACCCGAAGCCCTGAAAAATGGGAAAAAATTGGCAGAGTGAAGGTGAAGGAGAGGTTGGTCTTTTCCATTCAACTGTTTCCAAATAACATTCACTGATAAAAGAAAAAAAGTTTTTAAATGGTTACATCCTACAGTTCTCCGATGGATGCAATCTAAATGCTCTACTTTTCCCCATAGCTTCTAGAATTTAGCGAAGATCGGAATCCCTGGGAATCAGTGGAAGAAAACCTTAATGCAATAAGGTAATAATCGACCCGCATTTTGGCGCCCATAGCGTTCTGTTAAATATATGAATCAATTTATTTCCGTAGAGATATGATGCGAACGATGGTAAAACAGATGAAGCCTGAAAGAAAATGAACAGCTGCTTGTTCCAGTGGCAACAAGGAGACTCTGTCTGTTTTATTTCAACTTATTTTCCCTGTGAACTTGCAAAAATCTCGAGCATTTTCTTCTCAATAGCTTGGATATGAAAGTAAATGGTGCGTTAACAAGATCAATTACAGCAGCAGTAACGAAAACAACAGAGGAAACACCAAACAAACAGTGAGCAGTGGAGTGACGCAAACTCGAACTAATCGGAATTACTCCACAATAAGGTGTAGAGCGTTTCTTTAGGCAACCAGTTCGCTAACATTGGCTTCTAAATTCACTCATTTTCTCGTTGATCTACTCATAGAGAAATATTAAGCATAGCTTGATACATTAACAGAAATGTCAGCTTTTAAAATTCATTTATTCGCCTGAGTTATGAGGCTGCTTTAGCCTCATTCAACGAAAAAAACGGGAAACACATTAGTATTAGAATATGTTTGTGTGTATTACACCTATTAAATTTTTATCTCGATTATTCTACCTGCAATAAGCCCCTTTTTCATTCATCTGCAGGTTTTCCGTATTTGAATTAAGAAATAATTTGTCCTAACAACACCTGCCTAGTGAAGATTAGTGAAAACTTTCTTAATCAAAATTATTTGAATGAACTTGACATTCTCAATAGCGCTTAATCTCACGGCTTTTAACATGCGTGCACGTACTATCAGTTTGGTCAAAAAAGGAGTCAATTTTTTCCCCTAAGTATACCTTGAATTTTTCATCACTTAGGAAAAGGAAACACTTCTTCAATAGAAAGCAATTTTACCGACATCTATTCTGACTCAATACGCTGAAAGGTGCAAAGTACTTCCAAAGCTCGGAAACGCTTCTGGTCAGAAAACTTAAGCGACTTTTATT